TCATAGAGATGAATTTATTTATAGCTCTTCCTAACTCAACACCAATTAATGTAAAAGTTGCTTTTGGGTTTCTTATTCCAAAATGCAGGTATTTATCTATACTGAATTTCATAAAACTTTATTGCCCGGTCTCCCAATGTATCCAAATCCCTCTGAAGAGGTTACATTTTATTCAGACTGGATTGTGTTGCCTAGTTCTGTGTCATCTGCAAACAAACAATGACACAGATTTTCAATGCCCACTTCAAGATCATTTATAAAAAGTTTAAAGAGAAGTAAACCCAGGACAGGACCCTGAGGTCTTCCAATTACTCAATTTGACCAAATTTGAAAGATTTCAATTTACAACTACTCTTTGCACTCTTTCTACTAATTTCTTCAGAGAACACAGTTCTCCTTCTGGAAAATATAAGAAAATGCTTACAAAACACCTAGTGACTGTGGCAAAGATCTTTATTCTGTAACCACAGCTGGTTCCCTTATTTACCACTATAATGTCTTAAAGCATATAACTTAGTAGGGCTAACCATGTATATGTGTATATATATATACTTAGATCATATATATAACATATATATGATCTAAGTATATCATATATATAACATATATATGATCTAAGTATATATTTATTTATTTTTTTTATACTTAATTTATTTTATTTTTATTTTCAGCCAGCAGGGGGACTAACTGTCATTACAGGCAGCCCCCCTGCTGGCAATACAGCAGGCAGCCTACCCGGCCATGTGATTGTGAGGTCCTTTTTGCTCTCTATTAGTTTAAAGGGTAATCCAGACGTGGACCCCTTGCTCACGGTGCCTAGAGATATATCAGCTATGCCTCACTGATGATGCCTAACAAGGCTGAAACGATCGTCTGGGGTTGCTGTATCTCTCGTGCAGAGAGAACTTGCTGGCATTTCGGATCTGGACTGCCTGTATGGGTGGGACCAGTCTGATATGCTTCAGATATATTCTCTCTGTAATGGCACAAGATGAGCTAAAACCAGCTTGAGTTCTGAGCGGGGACCGACCGAAGGGCAGGCTATTTTAGCTGCTGTCCGTTCTCAGAATACTCTTGTGACCCATTTTTTGCTCTCTGCTAGCAAATTAAATTCCCTTTAATTAAATTCGTCATGGGATGTCAGGCAGGTCCCGCTAATTGTAATTAATTAAGATACCTAATTATGTAAAAATTTTACATAAATATATATGTAGAATTAATATATGTGTATATATATATATATATATATATATATATATACGTATGTGAATCTATATGTGTATATATATATATATAATTTTTAAAAAAATATTTTTATTTATATATAGGTATATATATATAGTGATATATACGTATATATTTATGTATGTAGATATATATATATATATTACTTCGTTCTACGTGTATTTTGATATAAATATATATATATTAATATCACAATAGAGTTAGAACGAAATAACACATCTATATATTTTTAAATTATTTATTTGTAATTATTTTTTTTATTTTATTTTTAACGTATTTACATATTTAATTTTTTTATATTATATATAAATATATATCAATAATTATATATATTTAATCAGTAACAGTCTACGTGTAATTTGATATATATATAATTATATATATATATATTAATAGTAAAATACACCTAGACAGTGTATGTGTGTGTACATATATACTTAGATCATATATATAATATATATATATATGATCTAAGTATATATATTTTTTTTTTACACTTTACTTTTTAATTCATTTATTTTAATTTCATTTCCAGCCAGCAGGGGGACCACCTGTCATTACTCGCAAGGACCTCACTCTCACATGGCCGGGGGGCACCAGAGGAAGAGGATCTACCGCCTGGGAGTCCCCAACCGCGATCGCCCCGGTAAGTAAGAAAAGACCGGAGGGCGTACAATTACGCCCGGCGGCGTTTAGAGCCGCCTAAAATAGGGCGTAATTGTAGAAACAGGTATGAAAAACAATATGTTTCATTTCTAACACCTTATCAGTTTGCAATATCTCTATATTATATAAAGACAAAGTACACAGTTTAAGAAATACAACATTTCATTCTAAAACTTGTAATATTTGCATTTGCCCATAACAACTCAACTTTACAAGTGAGCGGAGCTTGCCTCTGATCTCCCACTGGCTTAGGAGGCTGGAGAAAAAAAAAAAATCCTCTATGAAAGCTCACACCTCAGCATAAGTGCCTTGGACTCTTCATCATGAACCTAATCCTTTCCCTTCTAAACCCTCCTGTAATGGAGCTCCCTGTACCCCGACAGGGTACCTCCGCCAATGACCGCTTCCTAGCTGGAACAATGGACAAACTGCAGCACTTCTGCCCACAGTCGTCGTGGCTTGTCTGGGGCCCTGGAACCGCTCCTTCCTGGAGCCGAATGGAGAATTAGCTCTAGTCCTTACAAGGACTTTCCCCGTTGAATCCCCTGCCAGCTGGAACAGCAGACACAGGAGCAAATCTCCTTTCCCTCCAATAACAGGAGGACACACAGTTTTGGAGTGTAAGCTGGAATAGGCTTTTAATGGAGGCACACTGGACTTTTATGCAAGTTTCCCAACAAGGGCAACACCCAGGTAGACCTTGTTGGGCACAAGGATATAAAGTGAATAAACCAATAAAAACAGAGTCATACAGTGAGACACTCCCATACACAAACAATAGAATCCCTCCTCTGTGCTTGGGAGATATTTGTACTAATCTAACCTAATTATCTCCAAGCACAGGAAAAACACACACTTTTATGAAACCCCCCAAATTACCATAAAAACACACAAAACCCCATAAAAGCAAGCATGGCCCCATGCCCAAAACAGTTCCAGGGAAATCAGTGCTAACAGTCGGTCAAGTTCGGTAGTCGTTTAAAGGTTTCCCTGCAGGGTCCATAGTCTGTGGGCAGGAGGTTGGCAAGAAGGCTTCTCCAGGAGCTTGTGGCAAACTCAGGTAAAAAGGAGAGTTTGCCACACCTACCCTTTTTACTGTCTCTTTCCTCCTCTCCCCTCTTTTCTCATCCCTCTCTTATCTTCTATTCTCTCCTCATGCATTAGCGCTTCTTCTAGAATGCCTTTGATCCAGTCAGTAGAATGCTTTCTGAGCCCCGGGTACATTTCCACACATCCTTACTCATTGTCCATAGTGCTTTGCCATCAGGGATATTTCTTTTCAGGTTTGTTCATCTGATGTGTGCTCAAGTTACAATGTCATTTGGGAACTTTGTCTTTTCCTATTTATTGAAAATGTGAAATAAAGATTTCACAAACATTATACACGGTGTAATGCTGAATAGAAGGAAGGCACAAGGTGACTCAAGCCACTGTAACCACTTAAATGATATGAACCAGTAACAGTGCCATTTAATACTATGCAACCTCCTATACAGCTCCTGAACCTCGCCTTCCTTTATCCTCTGGTTATTAAGAGTACATTGGAGGAATGGAGCTATTTGGTTGGGCTATTAAATAAATTGAACAGGGACCATAGTGCCCCCCACGCCCCATTGGTGGCGGGTGGGGTCTCTTAATAATAAAGGGGAGGTGGACCTATTGTCACCCACAGCCCCCAACCATAGGCAGAGGGTGGGTCTATTGTGCACCCAGCCACCTCCCATTGTTGGCAGGAGGGGGGTCCTAAATAATAAAGTAGGGTAGACTTATTACCCCCCTCCCCTTTATTATTATGAGTGAGGTGGGTAGGTAGGGTATTTATTTTTTGGAGGTGGTGACTAGAGGCTTGGGGAACCCTATTCACGAGTGGGGGATTTTTAATATTATTAACCACCACCCATGCCAACAGGAGGGGGTGGGGGGGGTTACAATAGGTTCACAACCCCCTTATTTTTTAGAAACCCATATCACCGCCAGTGGGTGGAGTCTTGGGGTACAATTTGTCCACCCCCCTTAAATATTGGAGCACCAACCACCGCCAATGGGTAGGGATTAGGGAGGTAAATAGCTCCACCCACACTTAAGTATTTTGAGCCCCAACCTGCCGCCCATCAGTGGGTCTGGCTGGGAGCAATAGTTCCACACACCCATTAGGGTTTAGAGCCCCCACCTTCAGCAATGGATGAAGACTTGGGGGACAATTTGTCGACCCCCCTTTATTATTATTATTATGAGTCCCCAGCCACCGCCAGCTGCTGAGAGCTGTAGGAGAAAATAGGTCCACCCCCCTTTGGTATTTAGAGTCTTAACTTGCCACAAATGGATTGAGCTGAAGGGGCAATAGGTGCCCTCACCTGCTGGAAATTGTGGGGATATTTATGGGATAATAATAGTAAACAGTGAAAATTGCCCACTAATTCAATTCTCAGATCCCAAAGAACGTTTATCGTGTTAAGTGGAATGTATTTCATATAATTAATCACAATGTATAAAAATAGATTTTATTTATGATAACCAATAATTAACAAATAATATTATGTAACAAGCATGACAATAATCAATGAATATTCAGTATAAAATGGTATGCAATACAAAGGAATGGGTATTACGTTTCAATGGCTAAACGGCATTATCTGTCAAGAATTCTGACGATTTATGAGGTATCCTTAACACAGACTTAAGTGAAACTTTTCACAGCGAAGAACAGAATTCCTCAGAGTGCAGCGTAAGGTCGTAAAGTTTAGCAGACAGTTAGAATAACCCTTTCAATGCTGGCTAGATCTCCTAGGTAGTTAAGATCTATTCTTATGTAATTTTTAAATAAAATAACATTTAAACCAGTTCACTAGTCATTTTCTTAAACCATCCAATAAGAGAATCTAATATATTATATAAGCAGATTTTTAATTTGTCTAAAAGATATCTATCTTAATTTAGAGCAAATCAATACACCTGGATAAAAACAGCGGTATGCTAACACGTGATAATATCACATCAATATATAATTATTCTTAATTCCACCTGCAGAATGGAATGTTTATAACTATATATTCTTTAGTTAACTAAGATTTCTTAATATGGAAATCTGACCGTGCTTTATCCAGTCATATATAATGCTATTAATACATTTTAATTAATTTAATTAAATGAAACCAGTATAATTACCAGTTAAGTAGATATTTCATCCGATTGGTAGTCTCAGGGACTTATTTGGATGTCTCTCTCTGCATGGAGGTGTTGGTTAGAAAGTCAGTAAATTCTAGTGTTAGAGTTTTAGGAGTAGAGTGTTAGTCTCAGATGTTGTCCGAGTTGGAATCCCCAAACTTCCAATTCCTCTCTCCTCTCCTTTGCATCTCTTGGATCTGCCTCGCATCTCTCTTGTATCCCTCTATCTTCCCTTTGTCTTAACTTTTAAAGGGCCAGACTCTCTGTACGTCATCAGTTGATAACCCAATAGAAGCACTAGAGGTGTGGTTATCTTCCAGATCGCAAATTAGTTATTTGGTCTGTAGAGGGCAGTCTTGTCCCACTAAACATACCTATCCAGGAAAGAGTTAACTTTTCCTGGTGGCTATTTTGACGTCATTTTGGCCTATCTTTATGGTGGTCATAATTCAGATTTCAAAGGGTTTCTTAAAGTTTTGTCCAGACTTAGCGTCTGCAATTCCTGCCATAATTTCTGATATGACAGATCATGAACTAAGTTTACCCTTTTCCATACAATGGTACCTTATATATATATAGACAGTTAAATATTAAATTATTTAATCTTCTCTGTCACAATCGTCTGGGTTTAGATTTGATTATATTCCTCTTATCACTTGTTTATACTATGCTATGCATTCCTTAGCTCTGGCAAAGAGGCCAGTCTTACAGAAAGAAATCCTGTGTCTCTTTGTTTTTGTTAACTTGGAATAACAAAATGGAGTCTGATCTGTTCAGAGTGACTCAGAATATACACTTTTAGTTTCTATCATAGCACAAAATGTCTGGCGATATAAATACTCTGACAAAATGCATGGGAAACAGCAGGACAGCATTCTCCCTATATTTTATTTAATAGCCCACACCTGTGGTCGAGCAGAGGCAGGAAAGAGGATTTAACCTCCTTATATTTACTATTAAGTATTTTTTACTTAGTATTAGTAAAGGTGTCTGAAAAAAAACAAATTACAATAAGGAAGGGCTTTTTGTAAGTTTGGACTTTCAGTTTGGTAGATAGCTCCTAATTCTTAGGTGGTATTGCCATAAAGATACCAAAAAGGAGCTACCTACTAGACAGCTCCCTAAAATGGTACCCTTAAATATGGCAAGCCAATTCAGGGAGTCAAAAATAATGTCAGCATTTCATCCAAAAAACATCACACTAGAGGGGATGTTTTGGCTCCCAAAGCCTCCTGCAGCTGCGGCCTCCAACACCAGCGACCTACTGGTCAAATTCCAAAATGGCCAAGATAAGGCAGCCATCTTGAAAGCAGTGAGGGGGAAACCCCCATTCCGCTTTGAGGATATGGACGTTACCTTCTACTCAGATCTCTCTCGACCGACGCTTCAGTGGCGGAAGACGCTACGACCCCTCACATCCATACTATCAACGAACGGAATCAAATACCGATGGGGCCCAACACACACGCTCATTATCCAGCACCAAAACACTGAGATCAAGGTAGTGGAGGCATCGCAGATAGAGGCAACCAATCTGGGCCTGAACCACGCAGCAACACCGGCACCGACAACATGGGACCCGGCCAACTCTGTCCCGTTCATCCCGGCAAATCGGAACCTACCCAACCGTGCAACCACGTGACTCTGGACATTACATTTTTTCATTTATATAGCTGCCTTTATATATGGTTACTAAACCTCTTGGGATTCTTTATTTTTATCATTTTAATCGTTCTTTGTTTTATTTTTTCCCTCGTATTGTGAGGCACAGGCACCTCATAGGGCCAGCCTCACGTTGAGAAACCGTAGATGCAGCATAAGTTATGCCGTGGGTATTGTACCCTCTTTGTTTGTTTTTTCTTTTTTGTTTGTTGTTTATGTTACATACACCGCTTAGACACCGCGCAACATACCACACCATGCACTAACAGCGGGTCACACCCATCTCCGCCACCTCCCAGACCTAAACAAGTCGTAATTCAGAAACATTAGCTCCTTAACGAACACCTTACCCCCCAGCTCCGCGCTAGGAACCACTTACACTTACTCTACCAAAGCGGAGCTGTGCCCACTCAGCACCCAACCCGCCATAGAAATATATCGCATTTTCTCTCACTTTTTGAAACCACAGAGCCATACATGTCCCAGACTCCTACACTAACCACAACCATCGCTAAAGACATGACCATGGCAGTAACAAGCTACATTACCATAAAAATACCACAGCCAACATCGCTATCCCACCAATGTATGCAGAAGAGTAAAAACAGTGATATGCTTCATTGAATGTATTACATGCAATATATATATATCTTGTTGACTGTGACAAAATAAAGAATTAAAAAAAAAAAAAAAAATGCACAAATGGACAAAATTCGGTTCAGTTGTAACAATATATGTATTTTCATCCGAATGCATTTGGACGAAATAAAAATTTCAGTGTCCAAGTCGAGAAATTAATGTCTTCTTTTTAAATAGGCCAAAAGTCTGTCAATCACTATGAAAGGTTACACAAAACAGAAAGATTGTTACAAAATTACCCCATTTTGGAAGGTGATGGGATGTTTAAACCTTTTCTGTATAGCAAGTTTGTTTCAGAGGAAACCACATATAATAAACTATAGATTAAGTTATGAGCCCGAGTAGAGAAATATTGGGGACCATAGGCATATGCTATTCTCTTGTCTCAATGCACCTGATGATTCTGCCATAGAGAATAACTCAATAGAAGATTAAGGCCTTACTGCTGAAACATTCTATCATTGTTTTGTTCTTGGACGAGAATAAATGTATTGATTCTTCACCCTACACTGTGTAAGCTGTGGCCTTTCACCTTGGATGTACTTTGGAGCTGGTAGACCTCTACCACAGAGCTCCAGTATACAGTTATACTGGTGTGCAACACTCTGCTACCTTTCTGAATACAATAATTCTCTATGTCAAATTTTGACAGCATTGCCCATGCATGTATTATGGCATGGTATGTTAGGGCATGAGACGCAAGAAGTGATAGTTCCAGCTTTTATAGCCAGAGGCATTGCTTGAAGTGGCACTACCAAGTTTTCTAATTATTAAAATTTAACTTTTTGGGGAATAGGGAAGGATAGGTAGGGCTGAAGACACTTCAATAATATTAAGTTGTTATAGTGTCTACAATGTTTTTGTAAAGTGTGTAAGATTTCCTTAAATCAATTGTATTGTTTTTAATAGTGTCGAAATTGTGTTCCTCTTAGCTTTTTTTTTTTTCTTCTGGTTGGCTTTTAACCTCTGCAATTTTAGTCTTATTGCAAAGTCCTTATCATGATTTCTTGGCTACAGTGCAATGTGTTTTCTTATTTATATTTTATTAATTTAGATTTCATTAGCTCTTCATTTTTGTTAGGTTCCTGGCTTCAAATGATTTAATGTGACATCTCCTCCTCCCCTCAAGATGTTGAGGAAGTATGTGTTTTTAAATGAAACGCGTTGATTACAGCGTATTTTTAAATGCAAATAATAAAGAAGAATGTTTTTAATTAATTAGGAGTAGTATGAGCATCTGCTTTGGGACATTGTATCTATATTCTTATAGATTAGTGAACACAGGAGTGGACCACCCCGGTCAAGTCCTGCAGGAGTATAAAGATTTGCAATATATTGTCTGGCAGTGGGCGTCGTGTTCATTTGAAATAAATTTACCTTCAAACAAGATATGTATGATTTTTCTTCCACATTAGTATTTGTTTTTGGCATGATATGCAGGTTGGTGGGAAGAGGCTAATACAGCACACCATTCGTCCTATTTACACATAAACGAGAGGCAAGTCTGTGGCTCAAACGACAGACATAAGCAACAACCTTGTCATGTGACTTTGTATAAAGCATTTCCTAGGATCAACAGTTTATTTTATTTCCTGATACAGCAGAGTTTATGCAAAAGATACAAGATCAGTACAGTATTCTAATTGGCAAAGGAGTAAAAGCATAGTTTCAGACAATGTACCAAGTGTATATAAAATAGGATAATAAGTTTACTGTAGAAGTGTGAGTAGACCAGATAGAAGAGCTCTTAAAGTAAAAATCCTCATGTTTTTCTCTTATTATTTACAAGTGTCCAAGCCCAGGATATTGCTGGCTATATCCAGCTGACTAGCCACAACAGTCCCTTGTGTATGGGTTTGTGGTGAATTTCTTTGTATTTCTTATAGAGCCATGTTAATCTGCATATTTTAAAATAATGAAAATTTAAAAAATAGATTTTTAGCTCAAAATGACAGGACAGAACAGGAGTGCATTTTTTATTTTATGCCTGACATTTTCAAAATAAGACCCACATTTCTTTCAAGTGGAAACGGTTTTAATTCTTTATTTTTGGTTCAATTCTCAGACAGGAAACAAGATACCAGTTAACATGGTCATATTATACAACATACATACAATAACAGGTAGGCTTTCAGATGTCCACATGCTGCACAACTGCCTATGGACTGGAGTTTTATTTTTTAGAATGGCTAAACAGATAGCGTTACAATACACACAGGGCTGAATTTACAGTCCTTGCTGCTCCAAGGCCAGAATATTCAATGCAACCTCTTTCTCTCTTTATATAAAAACATATATACAAAGTTTGGAGTATTCAATTGCATGCATTAATACAACTGGTGCATGTGACTAGGTGGGTGGTTGGATGCTAAGAGGGGCCAAGTTGGGAGAGGATGTGTGTATATGTGGGTGGAGGCTGCTTGTGATGTTGTCTATTTGTGGGGTTATAAGTTATATAGGGAAACATGGTCTGTAGAGGGGGGTGGAAGATCGTGGCTATTGTGGTGGAGATTGGGGTTATAGTAGAGCAATAGGACCTATAGCAGGGAAATTAAGACTGTAGATGCAGGTTAGGGACTATAGTGGGATTGATAGGGAGTATTGTGTTGTGGATAGTGGGTATAGTCAGGGGACGATAAGAGCTATAGTGGGGTGACAAAGGCTATAGTAGGGGAAATGTGACTGGTGAGAGGACATGGGCTATTGTGGGGTGAATATTGTGAATAGTGGGATGACAGGAGCTGTGGTGGGGTCACAGAAGTTGCAGTTGGGGCATAGGGACTGTGGCGGGGTGGCAGGGGCCATATTGGAATGATAGGAGGGGTGGCGGGGTGACATGGGCTATACTGGTGTGACAGTATATAGACTTACCTTGAGCCAGGAAGGGGAGAATCTGATTCCCTGGTGGTCCAGTGGGAGACACAGCTGTGGTCTAATATAACAAGGTGGAACAATAAATCATGTACATAATGTGGGTGCTAATTAAAATTAAAGAAAAGTGTGGCCCTAGATGGCCTGTTCACCAGGCATAATTTAATTTCTGTTCCCATCTGATGCAATAACTGGCTGCTCACTGTTTAGTATATATCCCATCACTCGTGGCATGTCAGGAGTATTAAATCTCCCTTCTGCTAATTTGTGTTTCATATTAATCGCCATAGGCACTTTTTTTTTTTACACTATTAATATACATTTTAATCTGGTATTTGTCTAGCAAATTCTGACCAGCAGTGACATCTGAATCATAAAATAAACGAAACTGCTCATTGTAACGGATCACCTGGCACCCCGACTGAGTACCTCCGTTGAAGGATGCTCCTAGCACTTCCTGAGGACTCCAAGCACTGCAGCAGACACCACAACCACCAAACCGGAGCAAACGAATACTCTCAAGCATATGAATGCTGTAAGCAGCTGAAAAGGAAAAGCATACAATCAGCTTACACTCCTGGCAATCAGCATACAATCCAATTCCCCCAATAACGAGACGACACTTCGTTTTGAGGTCAAGCAGAACTGACTGTACTGGTACATACAGCCTTTTTTATTGACAATCCACAAACATAGTACTGCCCACAGGGTTTTGAAATACAACCAATCTGTACAATACACACAGACACTCCCACACAGAATCCTCCCCTCTGCCTGTGATATGATTACTGAACACAATGGTTAATCTAATTATCACAGGCAGAGAAATACAGTATCATAAAACATCACAGGGACCCCAAAACATGCAATAACCCCATAAAAAGTATATCATCGAAACCGGGTGATCTGGGTGAACCACATATCCAAAATTCACCCAGATCCGTTCAGTAGTCTGGAAGATGCAGTTTAATGCAGATTCCGCAGAACATATACAGGCTATATGAAAAATAATTGCCGTATAATGTGTCCCCTGTAGTATAGTTTAAAACTACTGAACGATGTCTTCGTGCACCAAATACTGGCGAGATGGCACCGTGTAGAAAGGTCCAAATAGTATCTGAGTAAAAATGGCCGCCATCTATTGTTCTCACCATGTGCCTCTGATACAGGAAATGGTGGCCACCCAGTAACTCCACAGTATGTCCCCAGATGGTTCTTAAAAGGCCAGCAGCAGCATAATAAAATGCAATATGCCCAAATACTGTATTTAAAGGGCCAAATCTCCCGGTGGCCATAGTCAGCAGGCAGGCAAACAGGCTTCTCCAATGCCCAGTGGCGAGGTTGGTTTTGCCACACTCATCCATTGCGGTTTCATTTGCTTTGTGAAATATGAAATTGACTTGTGTCTAATATTGTACTCAGAGAGCACCCTCTGCTGTCCATCAGTATAACATACATGTACATACACAGGGCTCGATTCTATTACTTGAGATGTGCACCCAAACAGCCAAAGTACTAGAATGAACCTGTTTTATGCACTATTAGAAACAGAACGTGACGGCAGAATAGCTCCTCACGAGCATTACATAATTACTGGGTGCAATTTATTTTCTGTATGAAAACCTATTGAAACTGCAATAAATTGAGATACTCTATTAATGGATAACCATTACTTAAGGCAGATTCATTAAAGGATAAAATACAGGGGAATAAATGTATACTCTGTGAATTCCTTCCATTTTAACTAAAGTCCCACTGTCAGCACAAGCAGCCTGCAAGTAAATGGTGAAAAAAATTATAGAAAATAAAAAAAAACAATACTTCTAGGAGGGCAGATAAAGATTACTTTCTTCTAAGGTACTTTAGATAATCTGTTCCCGTTTAGTTTCCCAGTGCAAGCCACAGTCAACTCAGGTTAAAAGGATCAGCAGAGTGCTTTCTCAATTATTATTTTTTATTATTATATTTATAGAGCGCCGTCAAATTCCGCAACGCTTTACAATGGGTGGACGAACAGACATGTAGTTGTAACCAGACAAGTTGGACACACAGGAACAGACGGGTTGAGGGCCCTACTCAATGAGCTTACATGCTAGAGTGAGTGGGGTAAAATGACAAAAGGGTAAGGATAGTATTAGATTAGTGACAGTTGCAGAAGAGGAATAAGTCAGAAGCTATTAACAGTTTAATTGATACGCTTTTATGAAGAAGTGTGTTTTTAACGATTTTTTGAAGGAGTGGAGACTGGGTGAGCATCTAACGGAGGAGGGAAGCGAGTTCCACAGGAACGGTGCAGCCCTCGAGAAATTTTGAAGGCGAGCATCAGAGGTGGGAGTACGGAGAGAAGATAGACTTAAGTCTTCAGCAGATCGTAAGGGCCTAGACGGGATATACTTGTGCATAAGGGAGGATAGAAAGGTGGGAGTAGTATTATGTAGAGATTTGAAAGCAAGAACCAGAATTTTAAATTGAGCCCTCTATCTTACAGGAAGCCAATGTAGGGACTGACAGAAGGGTGAGGCATGGGAGGTGCGGGCGAACAGGAAGATGAGCCTCGCCGCCACATTCAATATGGACTGTAACGGCACAAGTTGGGAGCACGTAAGACCACTGAGAAGCGAATTACAGTAGTCAAGGCGAGAAAGGCCAGTGGAATGGACCAACAGCTTAGTCGCATCTGGCGTTAAGTAGGGGCAGATGCGCGCAATGTTTTTTAGATGGAAATGACAGGATTTGGCGATAGATTGAACATGAGGCTTGAAGGAGAGGTCGGAGTCAAAGAGAACACCTAGGCAGCGAGCCTGCGTGGTGGAGCTGATGGTAGCACCGTTGACTTGGAGGGAGACACAAGAGTAACACTTGAGGGAGGAAAGACCAGAATTTCAGTTTTGGTCAAGTTTAGTTTAAGAAGTGGGCAGCCGTCCAGTTAGAAACAGCAAAGAGGCAGTCAGATACACTAGTCAAGAGGGACGGGGAGAGATCAGGTAGATTTGTGTGTCATCTGCATAGAAATGATATTGGAAGCCAAAAGGAGCTAATGAGTTTACCAAGGGAGGCAGTACAGATGGAGAACAGTAGGGGACCAAGGACTGAACCTTGGGGGACACCAACAGAGAGGAGTTGGGGAGAAGAAGCAGAGCCAGAGAAAAAAAAAAACACTGAAAGAGCGCTGGGAGATATAGGAGGAGCACCAGGAGAGAGCAATATCTCATAGACCAATTAAGGAACTAAGCACTGCACCCCTGCAAACTAAACCAGGTTACTCCTAAACAAAATGATAAATAAAAATAAGTGTGGGTGGACTTAATATAAAAAGAGGTAAATTATGGTTAAACAAACATATAGCTCAAATTCTAGGTTTGGCTTTGGAATCCATTCAGTCCTAATGGGTTGTCATTAAGTGTTCTTGCATAGCAAGACCACTTATGTTCTCACATATATTATTCTTATTATAGCCAAGTTTACCACCCTCACTCCTCCCACAGTTTTTACACTACATAGACAGTAATATACCGAAACGTGCGGATTGTTCCCGATTGGATTGCTATTACTTTGGAACGTTTCACCGAATGGTTCACAGAATATCGTTCTTGTGGCGAAATAGGTCCCATAGGAATGAATGGCAAAATGTTCAAAACTAGAGTGGGAGCTGACAAAAGCAGAAAAATCAAGACATAATTTCTAAATTGCCACCACTCCCACATTTTCAAGCCCACCTACACAAATCTTATATCAAAACATTCAGCTATCCCTGCTGCCACTAAACGTGTCCACGGCTAAGCCATAGTCCAGACAGTTTTCACAATATGACCATTTGTTTGCAATTTGTAGGTCTGGGTCTTGTGATTCTCTTCGCTGTAGGATTTATAGTTTATAAAATACGACCATTTGAATATGGCAACCGCCAAAATACTCTGACCTGTGCCAGGGTGGAGCAGCAAGTGATGTCATAGACAGGGCCTTTTGTACAACTGCTAATTTTTTTATGAATGTATGTTTTAACCCCTCGACGACCGATTATGGTTCAGGACCGTCATCAGAAAAATCCCCTTGGGGACCGATGACTGTCCTGAACCGTCATAACGGTCTGGGGCTACTTACCAGTGCTCCTCCCAGTCCGGGAGGGTGGGGGAGGGGGGAAACACGACTGCCTGCCTGCCCGGGCAGTCTCCCCTCGGCAGATCAGGACCCCGCAGCCACGTGATCACACCTGCAAGGGGACTGTCTGTGCTGACAGGCAGTCTCCCTGCAAGTAGAAAATCAGAAAAAAGTTAAATAAATCCATCAGTGAAAATTACATACATATATACATACATACATACATACACACACACACACACACATACACGTATATATCATACTAAATGTATTTTATATACGTATAATATAAAATACTTTTAATTTAAATTACACACAATATATCACTATATATTGTATATATTATAAATAATAAAATATAAAGTAAAATATTTTAAAAGAATAAAATTACATATATATTTTTAAACAGTATTTTGATAGATATGAAATACACATGTCCATATACATAATTACATAAATAATCTCATAAATATGCACGTAGACAAATATATAAATATGTATATATATTAAAATTCTACGTGCATATTTATGTAATATTTTTACCTAATTAAGTAATTTTAATGATTGCAATTGAAGGACCTGCTTGCCAACCCCGGCCAAAAGTCCAGAGAATTTAATTTGCTAGCCCTGTAAACTTTCTATGACACCCTAAAACCTGTACATGGGAGGAACTGTTTTACTCGAGAGACTTCGCTGAACATAAATATTAGGGTTTCAAAACAGTAAAACATATCACAGCGATTATATTGTGAAAGGGACGTTGTTTGCATTTTTCACACACAAACGGCACTTTCACTTATGATATTATTGCTGTGATACATGTTACTGTTCTGATACACTAATATTTGTGTTCAGCGAAGTCTCCTGAGTATAACAGTACCCCACATGTAGAGGTTTTATAGTGTTTGTGAAAGTTACAGGGTCAAATATAAGGCTTGATTTTACTTTTTTTATTGAAATTTGTCAGATTGGTTAGGTTGCCTTTGAGAGCGTATGTTAGCCCAGGAATGAGAATTAGCCCTATGATGGCATACCATAAGCAAAAAAAAAAAAAAAAACCCAAGCTATTGCAAATGGGGTATGTTCAGCCTTTTTTAGTAGCCACTTAGTCACAAAGACTGGACATACCCAAAGACTGGACACTGGGTTGTCTAAAAAAAAAAAAAAAAAAGAGAAACATTTGATTCGGGGATTTATGACAGATAACGGTGTTACAATGTCACCATTGATAAATTTAACACATACATACATACATATACACACACACTCCCTTCTTATATTTATAGGCCTATAACTTGCCAAAAAAGCATCTATTTTTAAACTCAGGACAAAATTTTTAGATATTTAGCAGTTTTTTTTCCATTAGCTTTTGTAGATCAGTAAAAGATTTTTCAAGTAAAAGTCCAAAAACATGGTTTTTTTTTCCCCTCAATGTTTCACCATATTTTATTTTATTTTTTTAAAATAAAATATGTGACATTATACAAATAAATGGTATGTAAAGAAAGTCCTTGTTCTGACAAAAAAAAAAAAAATATATGATTTGTATGGGAACAGTAAATGAGAGAGAGGAAAATTACAGCTAAACACAAACACCACAAAAGTGTTAAAACAGCTCTGGTCCTTAACGTACAAGATTGCAAAAAGAGGCCGGTCCTTAAGGGGTTAATGTAACTGAAGCACTTTGGGCAAATACGTTGCAATTAACCCCTTAAAACCGGAGGGCGTACTATTACGCCCTCCAGTTTTTTCTTACTTACCCGCTCACTGGCGATCCTACGCCGGCGATCGCGGTTGGGGGGACTCCCAGGGAGCCCCCCGTGGCGAATACTCCGTTCTGCAGTGTCCCCCCCCGGCCATGTGAGAGTGAGGTCTTTCCGAGGACCTTACAGTCATATGGCCGGGTTAGCTGCCTACTGCATTGCCAGCAGGGGTACTGCCTGTAATGACAGTTAGTCCCACTGCTGGCTGGAAATAAAATAAAATTAAAAAGTGTAAACATAAAAAATTAAAAAATACATACATACATACCCACAGTTGCAAGAAAAAGTATGTGAACCCTTTGGAATGATATGGATTTCTGCACAAATTGGTCATAAAATGTGATCTGATCATCGAAGTCACAACAATAGACAATCACAGTCTGCTTAAACTAATAACACACAAAGAATGAAATGTTCATGTTTTTTTATTGAACACACCATGTAAACATTCACAGTGCAGGTGGAAAAAGTATGTGAACCCCTAGACTAATGACATCTCCAAGAGCTAATTGGAGTGAGATGTCAGCCAACTGGAGTCCAATCAATGAAATGAGATTGGAGGTGTTGGTTACAGCTGCCCTGCCCTATAAAAAACACACCAGTCCTGGGTTTGCTTTTCACAAGAAGCATTGCCTGATGTGAATGATGCCTCGCACAAAAGAGCTCTCAGAAGACCTAAGATTAAGAATTGTTGACTCTGCATTTTTTACATATGGATTGCATTTTTGCTGGGCATTTTGTATATTTCATATGTGCCACTAAGTTCAAACCCCCCATATTATGCTCAGCTAAGTCTTCTGAGTAAAAAGACACCCCCATTGTATGTCTTTGGCACTATGTCGTGAAGCTACAGTGCCATATAGGAGACCTGTCCTTTTCAGTATTCACAGTAGAATTTTGAGATGGATTTAATGAGCCTTAGCTTCCATTTGAGGTATTGTAACAGTTTGACTGTTCAAAACCCCACAAAGGCCTACCATTTGTAAAATTAGACACTCCCGGGCATCTCATAAGGTGCATATTGTGCCTTAACATGCCCCATTTTTTCCACCAATATATGTGGTAAAAAATAATTTTGTGCATTTTTTTTTAACATACGAATTGCATTTTTGCTGGGCGTTTTGTATATTTCATATGTGTCACTAAGTTCAAACCTCCCAAATTATGCTCAGCTAAGTCTTCTGAGTAAAAAGACACCCCCAATGAATGTCTTTGGCACTATTTCGTGAAGCTACAGTGCCATATAGGAGACCAAGCCATATCAGTTTTTACCGAACTTTGAATTTTGACGCTGGGCCTATGTGCAATTTCCAAGCATCTTCACAGGTTTTAAATTCAAACTACCCCACAAAGGCCTACCATTTCTTAAAGTAGACACCCCAGGGTATTTCAAAAGGTATATTTTGAACCTTAGCGTGGGATCATTTTTCCGCTCAGCTATGTCGGCTGAGTACAGCAATTACCCCCGTATGTACCTTTGCCAGGTATATGTGGACATCGGAGGGGCACATTTGGGACACAGCCATTCCAGTTTTTTGTCAAACTTTAAATTTTTACGCTGTGCCCATGTCCCATTTTAGAGTATTTTACCAGGCTATATAATCCAAATACCCCATAAGGCCATACCATTTCTTAAAGAAGATAGCCCAGGGTATTTCAAAAGGCATATTTTGAACCTTAGCGTGGGATCATTTTTCCGCTAGCACGTACCAAGTAAGTAAGCATTTTTTCTGCCTTTTTGACACACAAAGTGAGTTTGCACAGTATATTTTGCAAACCTTATGTGCGCTACGACTGTATAACACTTCATATGTTGCTCAGCTATGTCGGCTGAGTACAGCAATACCCCCGTATGTACCTTTGCCAGGTATATGTGGATGTTAAAGGGGCGCATTTGAGACGCAGCCAGTTTTTTTCTAACTTTGAAGTTTTACGCTGTGTCCATGTTCCAATTTGGAGTAGTTTAGATGGTTGGTTATTGAAACTTCCCCACAAACACATACTATTTATTAAAGAATACACCCTGGGGTAATTCAAAAGGCATATTTTGAACCTTGGCGTGGGATAATATTGTCTCTAGTTTGTTCCAGGTGTAGTAAAAAACATTTATTTATTTTTTTTTACTTTTAAAAACTAGTTTTTAAACTTTTGTTTTGCTTATTACATTTTTTTTTAAACTTTCCTTAACTTTCTTAATTTTTTTTTTCCCCCCCACAGATTTAACATTTTTCTAAGCTTTTTTTTTACCGTTAACCCCTAACTAGCAGTAAGCAGCACTAACAGTAAATTCCCCATTTTCCCATAAGTCCCACCCACCCCAGCTAGCAAAATATATATATATATATAGTTATAAAATATTTAAATTAATTAAATAAATTGAACCCCTGTGGGTTAAAAAAAAATAAATAAAAGTTAATCCTCACAGGGTTAAAAAAATTAGATCAGAGTATAATACTGTGATCTGTATTTGATCACTGTAGGCATTGATCGACTGGCAGGGAAGGGGTTAATTTTTATTTGGACTGGGTAATTTTTTACTTAAACGTTATTAAAACTTTTTTTAAACTTAGTTAACTTTTTAAAGTTTATTTTAAAACTTTTTTTTTTTTAACGTTAACCCCTAGTTAGCCTAACGTCAAATCTTCCAATTCCCCACTAACTTCCACCCACCCCAGATAGCTAAATATAGAATTTTTAAATTAAATAAATGTAAAAAAGAATTAACCCTCAGGGGTTAAAAAAAAAATATTCAGATCATAGTAAAATGTAATCCCTGCCAATTGATCACTGTAGTCAGTGATTAATTGGCAGGGAAGTGGTTAATTTTTTATTACAATGGTTAAAGAGGGAGTGGGGGACTTTAACTTTTTTTTTTTTTTTTTTTAACAGGGGGCAGGATCAGCACTGTTCCGGCTCCCTGCACGTCACACAGGGAGGCGGAAGGTAAGTATACTAAGCACTATCGAGTGCTCCCGGTCTGCCTCCAATACAGAGGCATACTGGAGCACCATTAACCCCGCAATCCGGGATTAATTTTACCGCGTGACGGACAAGGTCCGTCACTAAGAGTCTCCCCCTCTGTGACAGACCTCGTCCGTCACTCGTCCTAAAAGGGTTAAATGTGCTATATAAATAAATAAGTTACTCCGCCCACTCCAGTTGTAGACTACTGGTGGAGGCAAGAACACTTCACACAATTTCCCCAGAAATTGTAGCTTTTATAGTTTTCCCTTAATACACACACACACACACACACACACACACACACAATCATTTACATTTTTGGACCCTTTTACAATGTGTGGAACATAGCTCATTTGTAAGTTAGATGTCAACACGTGGCGTTAGGATGTAAAATTTATGGTAAATAAGTCTTTGTGTGAGAGAGAAGTCCAGGTTTTATAAGCTTGAGTGGATGGAGTAACTGGAAAGGTTGGAGTGTGGTTCACTCACTCTACAGCAAGGGCAGAGAAGAGCTTTCAAATCCCTCGAACATTCCACCAACTGCCAACAGGAACTAATAGATTTCAAATAGGGCAGAGAAAAGCGGTTAAAAACAAACTGCTCCAACTTGCTCAATAAGAATAATAATAATATATGTGAGATAATAGTAAGTGGTCTTGCCATGGAGGGATATAAATATACCAATTTATTTCAAAACATTCAGCTATCCCTGCTGCCACTGTGATGTTTTGTACAAATCAGTCAATAATTCCTGTATAGCGAAGTACTCACTTTATTAATCCATATATAACAGCATCTTCATATTGCAGCCTTGTTACACAGGGTTTCTGCAGCTGCCATTTCAAATCTCTCGAACATTCCACCAACTGCCAACAGGAACTAAGATTTCAAATAGGGCAGAGAAGAGCGGTTAAAAACAAACTGCTCCAACTTGCTCACTTCACTGGCGGTTGCCATCTTCAAACACTTGTATTTTAAAAACTATAAATCCTACAGCGAAGAGCTTTATATTGTGAGAATCACAAGACCCAGACCTACATTTTTGCATGGTATGTCTCTGAAATATTAACAATGAAGGCACAGTCGCAGTTTAGAAATTGCCCTTCAAATTTGAGCTGGCTAGAGTAGAGTTTCAATGAATGTCAATGGACGGCGTGAGTTGCAAACAAATGGTCATATTGTGAAAACTATCAGGACTATGGCTTAGCCGTTGACATGTTTAGTGGCAGCAGGGATAGCTGAACGTTTTGATATAAGATTTGTGTAGGTGGGCCTGAAAATAAGGGAGTGGTGGCAGTTTAAAAATCATGTCCTGTTTTTACAGCTTTTGCCAGCTCCCACTCTAGTTTTAACATTCATTCCTATGGGACAAATTGCGCCACAAGAACGACGATATTCCGTGAACCATTCGGCGAAACGTTACACAAAGTAATAGCAATCCAATCGGGAACAATCTGCACGTTTTGGTAAATTTTTGTCTATGTAGTGTAAAAACTGTGGGAGGAGTTAGGGTGGCAAATTTGGCTATAATAATAATAATATATATGTGATATAACAATAAGTGGTCTTGCTATGCAAGAACACTTGTTATCACTATTGTGTTCCAAAGCAGCCTGCTAACAATTCCCCCCCAGGACTATTACAGTGTTAACCACAAGATCCCTCTGCCTCCCCCCCCCACCACCACACAGCTTCTCTCCCCCCCACCACCACACAGCTTCTCTCC